CGATCGATGACTAGAAAGAGCTCTACCGAGCTCTCGCTTTCTCCACAAGCTGGTCCACAGACTGATTTACGAAGCTAACCTTCGGTCGACGGACGCTCGCCAGCTACTTTTGCTTCGCACGGGAATTCTCTTTATTAACGCTCCAGTTAATATCAGAATCTACCCTGCCGTTTTTTTCCAACGGATAACGGTAAGGTTTTGGATTTTTCCCCGCAAACGGTAACACGCCTGTTGCTCGTTTGTCCCTTCTACGCCGCACCAAGGCTAGCTAGGATGGACTCTTCCCTCCCTCACACCAGAGGAGACGGAGTGTCGGAGGCTCGGCTCTGCGGCTGCGGGCTGAAGATATCGAGTACTGACTCACACCAGGTCTGCTCGTATTGCCTCGGGCTGCAACATGCCCAGGAGGCTATCGACACCCCCGGCGCGTGCGGGCATTGTTCCCGCTTTACCGCCAAAAGCCTCCGCCGACGGCTAGCACGCCAAGCTAGCATGCCGGTCCGAGACCTCCTCATGCCTGTAAACTCCCCGGCCGGCGAGCAGGGCATGGTGGCGACCGCCACGGGTGCCGGGTCCCGCGCTGTGTCAAGCTGGGACTCGGTGGCGGCGGCAGCCGCGGAGGGGCCCGTGCTGTGTCAAGCTGGGCTCCAACTCTGGACCTCAACCATGGTCTCACACCGCGGAGGAATGTCCTGAGCCTGTCCTATGAGGAGGAGGAAGAATAATACCCCCTCGGAGTTTCTTCATTTCGACTCCAGACGAGGGCGAAGATGACATTTCGTCTCGTCTGCCCCAGGCTGCCAAGCCTGGGGCCATGTCCGCCTCCCCGGGCGAAGCGAGCCACCCGCTCCCCGCCTCAGCATGGACCTGCAGGCCGTGTGGCCAACGTGCTGCATCCCAGGCTGGACATCCCNCATCAATCTCATTAAGCCAATCCTGATTGGCTGGTGATCTTGACGCCAACGTCAGGGAATCCACCAACCCTATAAGTAGCTTGCGCCACGACGCAGGCGTCATTACGCCTGCGTCGTGGCGCAAGCTACTTATAGGGTTGGTGGATTCCCTGACGTTGGCGTCAAGATCACCAGCCAATCAGGATTGGCTTAATGAGATTGATGCTTCTGGTGCATACGCGTTGAGGCGCATCCCATAGTGAGACATCAAACGGAGTGTTATGAATGAGAACTCAGAAAGCAGATCAAATATTGTTTGTGGAGAATGTTTCCTCTGTGAAGCACACTTATCTTGACATACTTTTCACACCCGGTTTGATTCTGAGTAGTTTTTCAATGATTTGATCCAAACAGACATATTGCGCTGCCAATCTCAGTCGTAGTGAAATGTTCTCATGACACAAGGAAACAACATGGATCACTCCATTCAGGCCACAACAGGGTGTGTGATTTTACATGGGAATATTTGTTTTCTCCCAAAAATCCATGAAATATAGCGTATTGCAATGCACATTGCATTCAGGGTATTAATAATACTGTGAAAATAATCTCCTGAGCTTGCAAGAATAATTTAGTATGTTTAAGAAGTTGTACTAATGTGGGGGTCCCTTGGAGCAGCATATTTGCTTCATACTATAACAAGAACATAAGACTACACTCACATAAGAATGAAAAAAGTGTCATAGTGCTACATTTATTATTGTTATAAGTGGTGATATTCTTTATGGTTTTACTTCTCTATTGTACTGAATCTATACCTAATCTAAACCATTACCATATTCCAATCGTACACCCTTTCAGTCAGATAAAACTGCCTTCCACACATAAATAAAGGGACAGACTTTACACAACGAAGAATGTATAGCTCCTAAAAGAAATGCAAAGAAAAGAGGAACTCACGGCATTCAAACTCATCCGACTTGTCCTTGCAGTCTGGGTCTCCGTCACACTTCCATGCGAGCCGCACACACTCCCCGTTAGCGCAGCGGTACTCCTCCGTGGTGCAGTTAGTCCGGCGATTGGTCAGGTACGGGACCCCGTCTCCACCGCAGCGCTCCGGCCCCTCGTCTGAACTGTCTGCACAGTCGGGGTCCCCGTCGCAGCTCCACATGAGCGGCACACACTCGGAGGAGTTGCAGCGGAAGTGGTTGGGCCCGCAGGTCAGAGGGGAGGAGCACTTCAGCTCATCACTGCCATCCCCGCAGTCATCGTCCCCGTCGCACACGTAGACCGTGGCCAAGCACTTACGGTTACCGCACATGAACTCACCGCTGGGGCAGGCTTTGGCATCTAGAGGACAGGAAGAGAGGAATGTGAGTTGGTTTGAAGAGCTAATAAAGGTCTGTCTGCCTAACTGGTTGGTGATTGGCTAATGGTTACACAAGCCAAAAAAATCGTTATGACATCATAAAGGGGCCAAAATCTGATCAACTCATTTACAGACAGGTTTTTATGTAAATAGATCAGGACAAAAATAGAAAGAATATTTTTTCCTCAAACTTTCAGGGTCTCTTTACACAGAGGGGACACATGTTTATGTATAACAGACATGAAAAAGTGGATTTTGCATAATAGGTGACCTTTAATGATAATAGAAAATGTTTTAATCTGCGTCTGCTTTAGGCAGCAGTGATTAAAATATGTCAAAGCTTGAATAAACTAAGTGGGTGAGGACCTTTACAAACAAGTTGACTTTACTCTGAAATGCAATTAATTTGTAGCATTATCTTCCCTTCTAAAGTGTCTGTGCTTATTCTATCTTACATATTTTAAACCAAGTTCAGACTGATGAAATTCATGTTTGGAACCATTTAGTATAAGGTTGGTTAGATGAGTTTATTTTTAAGCTATTTGGTTAATGTTCTTTCTGTTTACCGTCAGGGCCCCTATATTAAAATGTTGGATAGCTTATCTAGGTGTTCAATTTTAGATTTGTTTATGTCGATTGTGAATAAAACAATTGAATTGAAGGTGATACATTTATTTTGAGTACACCTATGCAGTTTGACTGAACAAAGACATATTACGTTCATTTTCAGGTTCATATTTGTATTATGTGCCTCTACTCTGAAATGTCTCCATGCTTTAATGTTCAAAAAGCTCTTTATTTTTCTCATACTGCCTTTTCATTTCATCTAATCGTTTATTTGAAGAGGGACAATGCACATTGATGAAAATGTTTAACCATTAATGCTTCAAAAATGTAAATATGACAGATTTGAGCTTTGAGCTAATTTCCATCCGTAGTTCCTCACATACAACATTTAAGAACATGACATTCATAGCAAAAATAAATACATGATATGCAGAAAGAGCATGAGCAGCATACAAGCATTAACCACATGGCAGTAGAATGTAGCAGCTACGACATATAAAGTGCAAGAGAAGATACAAGAGCTACCTAAAGTGCAAGAGGAGATACCCCTATGTTAAAGTGTATTTAGTGGTGGTTGCATGTATGTTTGTTTCTCAACCAT